CCTTGCGTCGGGCAGCAGCTGATGGCATCCGGAGGACGGCCATCCCAATGGCTGAATAGGAGGCCAAGGACACCAGGAGTGTTCCGCAGAAGATGACGATGGCCGAGATGAAGTCTACCAGCTCTGTGAGGGCCACATGAGTGCAGGACAAGTTGAGCAGAGGGGAGACATCACAGAAAAATTGGTTGAGGACATTGGGGCCACAGTAAGACAGACTGGCAATGCATGTTGTTTTGGCCACTGAGACCACCAGCCCACCAAGCCATGAAGACAAGGCTAAGCCCAGGCAGACCTGTGGCCTCATGAGCAGTGGGTAGTGCAGTGGGCGGCAGATGGCCACATAGCGGTCATAGGCCATGGAGGCCAGGAGGGTGCACTCTGTGCAGATGAGGACTATAAAGAAGAAAAGTTGAGTCATGCAGAGTGTAAAGGAAATATGGTAGGGTCCTGTCCACAGCCCCACGAGTAATGTGGGCATGGTGACTGACACATAGCATATCTCCAAGCAGCTAAGGTTGCCCAGGAAGAAGTACATGGGCTTGTGGAGCTCACTGTGACTACAGATGAGGTAGATGATGAGTGTGTTCTCCAGGAGTGTCAGCAGGTAGAGAGTCAGGAAGACAGCAAATAGGGCATCTCTTATGTCCAGCCTAGTGGACAATCCCAGCAAGATGAACTGCTGAACCCTGGTCATGTTGGCCAACTCCAGGGACCTTTCCATCTGTAGAGAGACAAACCATTTGTTAACATGGGTCTTTCAGAAGCATCATAGTAAACGTAATTAGAAGGCTGTTCACAGTGATTTGAGCCTCTAGCACTTAGTCATATCAACATCTGTGGAAACTGGCTAAGAGAAAGAGTCTTCATCTTCTTGAGATGAATGCTGCAGCTGGTGATTTCAATGTATACAAAGAATGTGACCATCTGAACATTTAGAGGATAAATTTTGTTCCCTGTGAAATTAAGTGAAGGAAATGATTGACATTTGTTATGCTAAATATATTATAATTATTTTCCTTTCAGTTTTTTAAAAAGTATTATTCCCAGGTTGTTTCTCTTCACACCAATTTAGGAATATTCTTTAAAATCCAGAAACATTAACTGCTATCTCTGATGTTCTAAAACTGGGTTTAATCTACAGCCATACTATCCTGAATGGGCCTGATCTCATCTGAAACAGAGCTCCTTTTTTCTTAAAGTGATTTTTATTTTACAGAATTGCATTATGCTGTAGGTATCAAAACAATTATGTCCAGAGATTAAAATGTTTTGTTCTGAATAATATTGTTGGAATTTTAAGAAAGTTGACATCTCATTTAACAGAAGTTTGGAGATTCCAATGTATAGGCCCAATCAGTGTGGTCAAATATACAATATTTACTTATATTTGGTATAGTGTTGTAAATGGTTGGAAGTTGGATATTCTATTGGTTGCACCCAATGTAGGTGATCGTACTTCCTTATCATTCACACTGCTGTTTAGGAGGAAGCTGGGAGATACATAGGGGATTATGGATGCAATCTGGGTATCCATCCAGATCACAAAAACCTCTAAGATCTTTTACTTTATGTCAGAAACATGTCATGATGACTTTGCTATTTTATTCAGCACTATTAAGTTCTGGTATGATTTAGTTATTCTTTATTTTGTGAAGTTTTTTTTTTTAATTTTATCTGTGTAACCAGTACCTGCATGCATGTCTATGTATCACATGCATGCAGTGTCCACAGAGGCCATAGAGGGCATCAAATCCCCTGGAACTGGAGCTACAGGTGGTTGAGAGCTGCCATGTGGGTCCTGGGACTTGAACCCGAGTCCTCTGGAAAAGCAACCAGTTAAAAGTGCTTTTAACTGCTGAGCCATGTTTCTAGCACCCCTGTCTTAGTTTTAAATGGCATGGTTACAGTGTTTGCCTCTGTCACACATGGTAAGTGTAGGGACTCAGGGAGGTACATCACAGCCCAAGATGACCCAGCCAGGAAGCTGCTGTAGCTCATTTCAACTCCATTCCTGTGCTAATTACATCGGATGACATTACCCACCCTGAAAGCCAGGAGCAGAACGGTCTCCAATGTCCAAGACATAGTCTAGAGATCCAGAAAATTATACAGTTTGAGAGTCCTTCTCCTTTTCCTCCTTCTTTCTTCTTCTTCATTCTTCTTCCTCTTCCTCATCCTCCTTCTTCTAATTCTTCTTCTACTAATACTATCGCCAATGCTGCTACTACTACTTCACTACTACTAATTCTATTAATTCTTCTTCTGCTACTATTAATAATAATAATAATAATTCTTTTTTCCTTCTCCTCCCTCCTCCTACTCTTTTTCTTCTCTTCCTCTCATTTCTCCATCTCTGTTTTATTTCTTTTAAATATGGGAATTTTCTTTTAGATCTTGTGGTGATAAGCAAATACATTTACTAAACCATTCAAGGCAGCATTCTTCTCATATGTTAGGAGTTGACTTCTTACAGGATGTAGAGCCAATGAATATATATAAAGACTGGGATTTCAGGAGAATTTAGAGCTATTATAGAGCTAATGAACCACATTATCTTGATATTAAAGGCTCCTCATTCATAAATGATTAAGAGTCTAATGCAGGAGGTGAGAGGCCCTCATCTAACACAAAAAAAGGTTGGGAAGAAGGGCATTTTAACAAATAAACAGCGATGGGAATGGTTTGAGGATGAGGAAGATGACCCTGTGTCATCTCCTAACAGATTCTCTCCACTTGAGATTTTTAGCTTCTCGTCTGGTTTCTCCTTCAAGGAAACATCGCTAAATTCCCTCCAACATTTCATTTTTTAAAAAACTGCATTTACTTACATGTGCATGCAGGCATGTGTACATGCACCATGGCTCATGTGGGAAGGCCAGAGGACAACTTGCAAGACTCAGTTCTCTCCTACCATGTGGATCCTGGAATCTAACCCTGGTTATCGGGCTCAGAGGTTAGTCCCTTCTCAAGCCACATCACCAGTCTGCTTCAAGCATTTCTCATGGACAAAGCATTCAAGCTTCTCCCAGAATGGATCTCTGCTTTGCACACCATCATGTGATCCCACCATAGGAAAATGGAAC